TCCCAGGAAGACCAAAGGGGAAGTCTACTAAGTCTCCATGGGAAGGCCCACATGACATAATGGATCGTCTCTCACACATGACTTTCCGAATAAAATTTGGTCGGCGAGATAAGCCAAAGGTGGTGCATGCCAACAGGCTTTGGCATTATCACAGTCCAGGACATTTCAGTTGGGACGAATTGAACAATGGAACAAAAGATGTCGCTGAAGACATGTCACCTGAAAAAGCCACTGTCAAAGAAGAAACTCTACCCGGTTTTGAGAAAGAAAACACTGAATCCCTTGATGAAGTTACTACCACTGATGTGACTGTTACCGATAACAGGACATTTCCTGATGGAGCAAATGAACCCCACGTGAAGCAGAAGCCAACGAGATGGAGACCAGTGCAGAAGAAGATACGTCCCATAAAATTAAGAGACTTCTTTGAATTTTAATTTTATGTTTGTAGTGCTTGTAAATTCTGTACATTTAATTAAGTTATTGTTAATTAACTATTGGTTTAATTTAAGTGGCTATTGTTTGGGACAAACAGTACTAAGGAAGGGAGTCACGTGACATTGGTAACACATAATGTGTATCTAGAATATCCGCGAAAAACACTAGTGTGTTACGAAGCGGAAGTCTAGTGACGCTGGTAGCACGTGATGAGTGTCTAGAAGATTCTCGAAGAGGCTACGCGGGCGGTATTATCGTATATAAGTGCGCTAGACAAAGGGGTAGAGAGTGGGCAACCAAGGACAGCAGTTACAGTCGGTGGGAACCGAGGATAGCAGATACAGAGATCGGAACTATAGTTGCTGACAGGCAGAGATAGAGACAGACAATTGAGTCAAGCGTGGTAATATAGTGAGTGAATTGTTGTGAATTATAGCGTGTGTTTAAGTTAAAGTAACTGTGGAAATTAAGTGTATTGCAAAGTTGTATTGAGGAAGAATAAACTAGTTTTATTTAAGAAAGGACTTGTATTGCAGAAAAATTAACAAACGAACATACAGAGACGTAGCATTTGATTAAACTTTATCTTATTGCGCAGTATTGCTTTTCCTATTTTATTTTGTGTTCTTTATTCCAATAATTTGGCGGAATACACTTTGAGTTATTTCAGCTGATATTTCCCCCTTTTTGCTATAAGCATTCCAAAAACATATTTCTAATTTAAGTTTTAACGACTTTCATTGTGTTACAGAGAATGTGTAATCGCTTGAAAATTATACGTATAAAATGTTCTATGAAATGTTTTCCAAAGATAAAGAGAGTAATTATATATTTGAGCCAACTTTTTATGCGCTATCATGTGATAAAAAATCCTCTACAAATAAGCCACGCATTTAAAATAACACCATTAATATTTTATGAATTTTTGAAACCAAAGTATTGTTTTTAAGTTTTTCTAGTGTCTTTTGTCACCGAATGAGGGATATTGTGTCAGGCTTACCCATTGAGGTATAATATTATAGTGGTCTTAACGTATTTAAATTACGTTTAGTGAAAAATAATCAAAAAGTGAGGTTATTATGGCTCCAAGACAAAGAAAGATAGCTATCATGGGTTTTCGATCAGTTGGTGAGTGTCTTAAGGTTATAGGAAAATGTGTTTAAAACTATTAAATGGGGATTTCATAAGGTATGTTACGACCGTTAGTAATAGTAATAATACTAATGCTTGTATTGTTAACCCTAACTAGTCTAGTGAAGGAAACGAAGACGTTAGTCTCCGAATCTCACTCTTGCTATAGTATAGCTCTACCAGTGGGGCTGATGTTGATAAGTATATAACATTAGCAGCCTTAAACATGCCCAATTCGTATTTTTGAGATGACCCATTGGAAATTCAATTTCCTTCAAAATCAAAGTTCATCTTAAAGTTAAATTTCAACAGTTGAAGACATGCTATTACCATTATTATTATTAAAATAGTAAACTAAATATCTATTACTTAGATAAATTCTTGCAATGAATGAAAGTATAATAAAAATAATCACAGCAATATTGATAGGCCAAGCAGGTTGTTTCAGAATAGGTCTGATCTACTCATCACTACAACACTTTACAATGATAAGCAAAGGCCTTTAGGTATACCTAACCTGACTTCACTACTGTTTGTATTGGGAAATGAGGGCTATATTTATTTACTTTCACAGCTACGAGTACATGCTAATGATCACAACATCAACAACCACTTGATAGTATTGCCTGGGCTAACTGCCTTAGATCCCATCTAAATTTAAACACAAGCACTGATTAGTTGAATTGAGGGAAAGAAGAAAAAGAAAATGGTGTGAAATTAGTAACGTGTTGTGCAACTGTAGATCTTCAATCCTGAAAAAACATTATGTGCTGAATCTGCCATTAAACTCCTAGAAACAGAATTCGACTTAGGACTTAAAGAATGCAAGATAGTTCCAGACTTCCAAGAGTCCAGAACTGTTCTAGATGCAAGTTCTATTTGGTACAGCCGTATGCTTGAATGAAATGGGAGAAAATACTAAGTACTATAATGTAATTTTTAGTCATCATGGCGACTTGGATTTGTTAAGGCCTACTCTACTCTCACTTAGTTTCGTAGTAGATGTTGATTTGCCTTGCCAGAATCTGAGGTTACATATCACAAGAATAACAAATTGCCATCTGTTTTACATAATTATGCATGAATGTAATATCCATGTCTTCAGGTGAGCTGACATTTTAAAGGCAGCTAAAATATAATTGAAGTAGATGATGAAGGAAAATTACTTAAATGATAAACAGAATTGTGACTAAAAATAAAGTAGAATTTGCTACCTCATAGGCTGAAAAATCTGTGTATTAATATTTAATAATATTAAAATTTATATAAAATCAATAAGTTACTTTGAAACTGTCATAAGTTTAAATGGTTCTAAAAACACAGAAATGGAATTACACATTTTGATATTGCCATATTCTATTACATTGAAATGGTTTGGTACAATGAAACTGAAGTATATTGTCATATGATGTATTTAGAGTTGGATACTAGGGAAATAGGTACATCGATCTTATAATACCTCTTTGTATGAACAGTTTACTACATCTTAAAGTTTGTTGTTGTTTTGTTTTTTTTCCATGCACGTTCAAGCTTGTGATTCTAGAAACTGTTTACCTTCCCAAGCTATGATTGCCACAGCTGCATCAATATTAGATACTGCAGAATCAACAAATGTTGTCTTCATAGTGGCTTAATATTATTATTCTTTGGATCTATTATTTATTCATGGGCTGTGTTATATTGGTTCCAAGGTTATTATCTATATTGAGGTGAGGTTCTTGGTGGTGCAGAGTGCCTGATTCTGTCATTTAAGTTATGAAATTGTATCTAAGAATAATGATTACTCTTGAATAATAGAGGTTCAGAAATTCCTGTCATATTCTATGCCATAAAGATATAATATGGTACATTCCATTTATTTGGATTCTTAATGTTCAAGTAATGTTTTACACTTGAAATATTGAGCTTGTGCAGTATAAAACAAACATTTAGTGCAATGTAATAAATATCATGAATAACATATTTGTAACCAATGCTTAATGATTGAAGTTCATGTTTTGTTCTTTCCTTACATTTTCACAATCAAAGAACTGGTTTTCTTAGCATAATGGCAAGAGATTCTAGCATTCTAAGGTAGATTTTTTCCCTGGGATGAAAGACAGTGTAGAAGAAAAAGGAGGTAGGCAGGCAGGCAAACAATTGCATTCATTTAGGTAGTTGTTGGTAATATTACTGGTACTGTGGGTTTTTACACCTACACCGTTACTGAAGTGTGATCTCCAGAGGAGAGTGGTCTCTTCATATCAACTTCATCAAGATGTTGGCTGTTTTGAGCTTGTTGTCTTGTCTGTCTGATATCTTGTTATGGTCCATTTGGAAAACTCCACTGTTGTTTTTTATGTCAACAAACGGGCTTTCACATGCTCTTCGTTCAAACCTTTGGCCACCTGTTACCTCCCACAAACAAGAAGAAGAAGAAAATACATCTTTAAAGAAAGATAATATAGGAAACAAGTGGCCAAAGGTTTGAACAAAGATTATGTGAGAGTCTGAAGAATTAAATAGAGATTTTAGTCCAGAAGAAGAACTGGATGAATAGGACGATTGATGAAAAAGGCTCACTTAAGGTCTGTAAGAACTGGAGAAAGAAAATAATAATGCTATGTAATCAAAATCTGCATGAAGTGGGAAAGTACGGAAAGTGCTAAACCCATCTGCTCTTGCTCTATGTCTGCTATTGAGTTGGGGTTTTCTACAAGACTGATGTCTCTTCCAGGCCCTACTTCACAAGAAAGAAGTACAACACTAGATGTATGCTAGTAGAGTAAGAGAGAGCCTTTGCTTCCCCAGTCCCAACATGATGGAGAGTTCCCCATTGGATCAGTATAATCTGACTAGTATGGATGGAGTATTACGTGGAAGTGTAGTACAGGCTAGCCTGGTACATCTTGCATTCTTTTCAGGATGTAGATCTGGGATAATTTCTTCATGCACATGCTTTGTCTGATAAGTGCCTCAAATAAGTATTTCTCCAATTTGATGGCCTGACTTACTACTTTAGCCATACTACACAGTAATGCTCAACCCACTGTCTGCATTATAATAGCTGATCAAGCACTCTTACATTCAGCCCCCAGTGCAACACTTTAGCACCATTTTGATATTATCAGCTCTACCACCTTCATTTGATGACAAGTATTACCTGCTTCAAATGGTTTGGGCTCCTACTGTGTAAAGCTCTACTAGGCTCTACCACCATCACCTAGTAGGTGTTACACTCTATTACGGTTTTCCATTTTTTTATGCTGTGTTTTCAGAAATGAACTCATCTTTGTATCTTTATCTGCACAATTTCTCAAAAGTTTTCTATAAAGAAAAATATCCAACATAAAGCAGGATGACATCATCCAAAAAGGGGAAGCCAAGGTTCCATTTTCTTGCATTATGCATCAGAATCGTGTATATTTGCATATCTTTGTATTTTACATTGTGGTAAATATGAGTAAAAATTTAAATCAGTTCTTTTGAATCTTCCAGAGAAAGCATCGTCTTGAGCTTCCCCACATTAATAAAAGAAGGGAAAACTTTTTCTTTTATATATATAAGTAGACTGTAGGTGTAGAAAATTTCAAGCAAACCTTTTCTGCCTATGTTGATAGCTCTGACAAATTTTTAAGACAAATCAACCCTTTTTTAAAACCATGCTGAGAAGTATTTAAATGCAAACTCTCCTGATCCTTTTTTAAATTACATATACTTCTGACAACATTCCAACATCATAACAATAACAGGAGTCAAAGTAATAAGACTTTTAAGTTTCTTTTATTATCCCCTAACTGTTTTTATTTTAATTATAAGTAATATAGGCATCTTCAAAGTACCAAAAATTTCTCTGACACTGAAAGACTTGAAAAATTCCAACTGGTGTATTTAAGTGTTTTACACTCACAAATGTTTAAACAATTTTATTTATTTAGTTAAAATTCCAGTTACTCTGCAAGCTTTTTTTACAGTCTTACAAAATATTTTCAATGATTTGGGTTTTATTCTCTAAAAATTTCTCAAACTTTTGTAAAACAAATACTTTTTCAACACAAATTAAAGGAAAAATATTTTCTACTTTTAAAGAAAATTGGTCATCTTGGGAATCTGTTCTCCTCCATCAGCAAAACGCTAATAAAAATAGCTTAGCACTTTATTCTTCAAACCGCAACACTCTGAGCTTTCCTAGTATAGCTTTGCACAACATTGAAACGAGCAGTTTGATTCAGCTAATGTTTAGTTCCAATACATAATAGCTTTTCTCAATTTGTGCTGACCTTCATATGTGCAATTTTTGCTTGACACTAGCTTTGAGGCTCCCACCTAACTTCACATGGTATAGCTGCATTGTACCATGTAATTGAGCATATGATATCCCTCCATCAATAGGAGTGCAACACACTCCTAGCACAGCTGACTCTCTCTATATTGTAGATCACACTCATCACTTTTCAATTTGGCTCTTGTGTGTAACAGCGTGTCTTTTTTTCTCTTGGTCATTTTTTCAAGTGGAAGTGTCTACACAGACATTGCCTATTGTTGGATTTTCACTTCTAACATTTGCTGCACCTGCAGATTTTGTGGCCATATGCTTCTACATTATTGGTATCAGTAACTTCCAGTTTGTCTGGTGTGAGACGACAAGACGTTCATGCTAGTATCACAACTACATTGGTGTCGAGTTTGTCTTTGTCTGTTGGGAGATCTGATATTTTTTGTGCAGTGTGTGGTGTAGTAGTTTATGCAGCCTGTTTTTTTTATACCTTATGTACCTCCACCTATGTTTCTAGTTCATGATAGAAGGGATTTTGCCAGTTTTTTCCCACTGCCTACCTTATCTTATACCCATGCTGTCTTGAATCTACCCAAGACTTTTTTGGAAGTAGGTTTTTCAGGTATGTTTCACTCCTTCTCTTTGTAAATCTTTTCCTGCTTCTTCTTTTTATGTTTTCTACTTTCTATCCAGATGTGCTACTGTATCTTAATTTTCTTTTACCATTATTTTGGGGAAGGAA